ATATACATAAACATGTACATAAAGAGGTGTATATATATATATATATATATATATTTATATATATATATATAGTAAACATATATATATATATATAGTATATATATATATATAGTGTATATGTATATAGTATATATACATACATATATATGCATATATATATATATTTGTGTGTGTGTGCGTGCGTGCGTGCGCATGTGTGTGTGTGTGTGTGTGTGCGCGTGTGTGCGAGCATTCATAGTGAATGGAAAGTGAGGTCACAAGCATTCCTAGTGATGAGTAGTGAGATTAGAGTGATCCTGACCATTCATTTTGAATTATAGAAATATTCCAAGCATTCCAGGTGAATAGTAGTGAGAACATTCCTTTTGAAAGTTAGTAAGTACCCCAACATTTTTAGTGAATGGTATTAAATGGTAGTGAGATGAAAATCCCTATTGAATAGTAGCAAAGTCATGAGAATTGCTAGTGAATGGTAGCTAGATCCTAGTCATTCCTATTGAATGGTAATAAGATCCTTAAGCATTCCTAGTGATTGGCAGAGATCCCAAACATTCCTTTTTAGATGGATTTAAATGAGGTTCCGAGAATTCTTGGTGAATGGTGGCAAGATCCAGAGCATTCCAAGTCATTGGTATATCCAGAGCATTCCTTATTGAAAGGCAGTTAGATCCCGAGCATATCTTTTCAATGCAGTGAGATCCTTTTAAATGGTAGAGAGAATCTTCCTAGTGAATTGTACTTAGATCCCAAAGATTCCTATTGAATGATAGATTCTGAACATTTCTTTTGAGTGATAAATTAGATGCCGAGCATTTCAAATGACCATTAGATCCTGAGCATTACAGGTGAACTGTAGTGTGGCCACGAGCAGTCCTATTGAATGTTGGTTACCCCCTTATTTTGTGGAGCGCCATTTCTTGGCCAAGCACACCTCTCCAAGGAAGGCTGGCCAAAAATACCACTTATTTTATATGCTCTTTTATTGAGTTTTAGTTGTTAGTTTTTAATGTCCTTAATTGTTTTATTTGTATGTTTGTCCGTATTTCTGTTTATTTTTTAGTTCATGACTAACCTTTCGTTTAACGTATTTTTAACTTTTATTTGTGCCTATACTTATATTGATTGTACAATTTTGCTTTTTTGTTATTGTAACCAGCAAAATTAATCCTACCAGAGTATTGTTGCGAATTAACAAATTTTAAAATAGAACCAGAAGATGAGAGTCCGCCATGTTTTTTTTTTTTTTTTCGCCCACTTTCGACTTATGTCTGGGAGGGGGGGGGGGGGCAGATTAATCGAGCAGGCCATAGGGTTAACGCTGGGACTCTGGGGTCGCCCTTATCTTTAAGTATAGTGGATGTTTATGGCCACAGAAACCAAAGGCAATAATATATGAAGATAATGCAATTTTTATATGAACCTTTGAATTTATTTTGCTGGACCATCTTAGTTTTATTTTATTTTGTAGTCTCATTTTATTTTTCGTTTTCTAGCATCTTTTAATGTTATTACTTTGTTATTTTACGTTTCGATTTTTAGCTTTCATTTTAGTTCTTTGCTTTAATTATAAGTTTTTCATAGGTTTTTATATTGACCGTTCTTAGTGGTTTTATTGTGTTTACATTTTATGTTTCAGTTTGTTTGTTTTAAATAAATGTAGACTTTTACCTTTGTTTTTTCGGCGTACCACAAACCTGCCATTTTTTTTTCTTTTTTTTTTTCTTTTTTTTAAGAATGGATCAGACCTTGAAATTTAAAAAAATCACTACAACCCAAATATTGGTGGCAGCTGCGTGGATTGCATTTTTTGTACATTTGTTTGACGGTTCCAGAGTCCGTTTCTCTTTAGCGTTTTTAATGTTTATTTTTATTTTTTTGCAGTCGGTTTTAGTTACTGAGTTACTGGTCACGATTATTTGTCCAACTTTTGTTTTATGTTCTGTAATCCGTTTGTTTTATTGTTTTCCGTTTTATTCTCTGTAATCCGTTTGTGTTATTGTTTTATGTTTGTTTTGCAGTCGTCTCTTTTACTTTGGTGAGTGCAGTACAGTAATGTTGTTTGTTTTACAGCAGTTTCTTTTATTTTGGTATGTGTAGTACAGTGATGTTTTTTTCTTTTTTGTTTTATAACAATCCCTGTGTTTTATAATAGTGCCTTTAACATAGTTCAGAATGGTACGTATTGTATGAAGTTTTGTGAATTTTACTGTGCTCTATAATGAAGTTTCATGATATATGAACTATATGATTTCAAATCTAAACTTTACATATTACAGAATTCTGCTACATTTAATCGTGCTTTACTTTCTGTAATTCCTTTTTGCAGCATTCCTTGCAGTATTATTTCAGGCAAATGTTTAGTGGTCTGTGATGCTGGTGCACCATCAGTGATCTTGTTTGTGCTTCCCACCGTTAGTATTAAAACAGTCTTCGCGATCGGCGAATATGGCTGGTGGCCTCAGTAAGAAAGAGGGAGCTGCGGGTAGAGAAACCCACAATTCTTCGAGGGCCGATTCTGAACCAGACGTTCAATGTGCAGAAGCGCAAGAGGTGCCAGCTTAGCCAGAGGGATCAATGCATGCCCTCATAGAACAGTGCGACAGATGGGTGAACCACCTGATGACTGAGTGTGCTAGCCTTCGAGATGTTGTGAACCGCCATATTAGTTACGATCCTGTCCTAGGTATTACTGAACCCATGCAGTCTGAAACAGATCAAGATACATCATGGCAGGTTGAGTATGCACACTGATCCAGCCTAACCAAAGACTTTGATCCGCATATGTCTCGGGCTATCTGCTGCCTAGTTTACAGTCCAAACAACGTGAAGGTTCACGAAGCAAAAACTCCAGCAGCAGATGCTTTACAAAGGAACAATGAAGTGGATCACTGGATTCGTCAGATTGAACTGCAGTTGGTGATACTGCAAGAATACACTGCCGAATACACTCCCCCTTGTTCGATGATCTCTAAGATTGGACACTTTGCTCATTGTCTTAGATGCAAGATCTGTGGAGCAACTTCCGTCTCAGAATTTTTTACGACAGCTTTCCAGTTTCCTGGTGTCACAGATAAGCCACGAGAGCTGATTAAAAGAACCTTTATTAAAGCCTTACCCTTCTGGCTACAGGAAAGTATTGCAGGGCAGGAGGATAAAGCACTTAATAATCTGGCGACTGTAGTAACACATATATGGGGTATCCGTCAGAGAGCTCGAACAGGTAGTTCTAGGTATGTTTACAGCATCCCAGACTAGAAGACTCCAGAATACAAGAGTGGAACAAGAAACTTCTGCAGTTGGTGAACAACCATACTGTGCTTTTCACCGCCAACGAGGACATTCCACCCGTGACTGCCGAGCGAAACCAAAAGGGTATGTGTATCACTTAACTCTCATCTATCAGGGATGGTTCCAAACACTCCATGTGTAGAATAATTTATTGAACTTGTAGTAGATACAAATCAATATTCACTGTAAGTTTCATTCAATATGCAAACAGTAATTCAAAATACTGAAGCAGCAACAAAACAAAATATTCCATAATAATCAAATCATATTAAATCTATTGGAGAGATAACACAAATTTATAATATCATATTTTCTAACAATGGATCAAAACACTTACATCATGGCACCTTGCCCCTGAAAGATGGTTTTCAGCCTCAAATCAAATCTGTCAGTCATCAGGCTGTATAGAAGGAACACAATACATTCATGATGTATATGCTTATAGCATTTTATACAGCAACAAAATCAAAACACAGAGAGTAGCATTCATTCACTCAACAACGCTTCCAGATAACCTTGTGCATTGGGAATCCATACTTAACTTAAATTGTACAAATTTTCCTTTTCATTTCAGTATCACAAAATTACACAATTTTCAAAAATGAAAACTTGCTTCTTATATAATTCACTATTATTTTCCATAATACAGTATGTATGCTGGGGATGTGGTCAATCTGGACATAATCGGAAAAACTGCCCCTTTCCAGATAGTCAGGCCAGACAGCGAGCCTGGACTGAACCTTACGTCAAAATTTCGGGAGCAGTTCTTTGGGAGGCCGATGAGAAGTTGCAAAGCTGGTAGACCCATGATTCATCTACATGTGAAAGGCGTCAAGTTAAGGTACTGATAGACACAGAAACCTTACCTTAAACGAAGTAGGAAGCTCTTGAGAGTGTCTGGAAGCAATTTGGATGTGCAGGGCGAGTGTGATGTCTGAATCCACTTAAGTGAGGAAAGGTCATTTGCTCCATCAAGTTTGTGTTGTCCAAGAAATCATTTTTCCAGATGATTTGCTGTTAGGTATGGACGTGTTAAAGCGTTGTAGTTATGTGCTAATTCACAAGAACTACCCACCCCAGAACTTTTTGCTTTTTGATGGAGTTAAGTTACCAGTAACTTTAAAACCGTTACTTTGAGACTAGGACAGTATAAATGTGGTAGAAACTGAAGTGGGAACAATGATCAAAGAAAATGTACACCCCAAAGCTCGAATTTGTTCATCAGTCACCCTTCAGCCAAAATCTGGTCACTTCCTTTCGGCAAAAGTACCGTCTATGCTTGGAAAAGCACAAGCAATTTTGGATGAGGCATCTAATGATGCTTTAGTTCTACCTAAAAGTGTGGTTACTCCAACTAATGGGACAATTCCTATCTGGGTAGTTAATACTAGCAATAAGATACTTAGGTTAATGGGAGGAACTCTGGTTGCAGACTTAACCGATGTGCTAGCCGAACCTCTTGTAACACCAACACCTGAAACCACTGCAAATGATACGTGATAATGTAACTCTGGTGGCTCACCTGTGTCCAGTCCGTCGGATGCTGCTGCCGCCGCCGCCTTACCTGTGTCCAGTTCGTCGGATGCTGCTGGCACCGCCACCTTACCTGTGTCCAGTCCGTCGGATGCTGCTGCCGCCGCCACCTTACCTGTGTCCAGTCCGTCGGATGCTGCTGCCGCCGCCACCTTACCTGTGTCCAGTCCGTCAGATGCTGCTGCCACCGTCACCTTACCTGTGTCTAGTCCGTCGTTAACGCTGTGGAGGAGGAACCCCAGGTGAGTGTTGTTACAGCTCCAGCACTTACAAATCTCTTAGTTCCTTCTGAAGATAACCATAATGAATTGCCATACTTAGATCATGTGGAGGATCCTGAGAAGACCGTTTTTTTGAGATCTCTTGAGTAAGTTTTCTGGACTTTTCAGTGCTGAAACTATGGGCATAGCGACAATTCCTGGTGTTATCCACAGAATACAAACAGGTGAAGCCTCACCCACTGTTACAAGCAGACAGCGAGCCTGGACAGGACGTTGCCACAAACGGCCCGATTGACTGTTCGTGAACAGTGTAATGCAATGGCCAAGGCTGGTGTCATTGAATACTCCACAAGTCGTTTGCTTTCACCAGTGATTCTCGTCTGTAAGAAGGATGGAAGAGTAAGGTTTTGTGTTGATTTCCATACTGCAAATGCAATAACAACATCTGACTTATCCCATAGCCCATAGACAACAAGTTATTGATGACTTACACCAGAGCTGCATTTTCACCTTGTTGGATGCTCGTTCTGCTTACTGGGCTATCCCTGTGGAACCTCAAGATCGACATTTATTGATGGGGCTCTTTTGTGTGTGTGTGTGTGTGTGTGTGTGTGTGTGTGTGTGTGTAGCCATCGGCGCATGTTTGATGCAGCGTGACACAGAGGGCACGCCTCACGCTGTGGTATATTTCTATTTTTATTATAAACATTTTATTATAAACGGGCGAGACAGTCAGTAGTCGTAATTGGCTCATTGGTGACTTAGTACAAGTGTAGCCATCTATGTGTAAAAACAATCAAACAAGTACTTACAGTGGGCATTTCATGTACTATACGTACACTTCATACCCATCGGCATTGGGTTAAACCAGAAAGGCACCTGAAACTGGTCTTCAGATCCAACAATGGGAGTGATGCTAGTCACTGTGATGTTAGCTAGAAAGGTTTGGGACAAGAAAGTTGATGATACATCAGAAGTGGATGGTGCTTCAGTTGATATGATGGTCAAGAGGCAAATGGTTGCCAGATATATGACAACCCAGTAAATATGAAAAATGCAAAGAACACTGATATAGTTAGTACTAATGTTATACCAAGTGGTTAACAGATGTATGGAAACACATAATGAAAATATTCCTACATATTAATAGAAAAAAGTAAAAAAAAAACACTGATACAGTCAAAACTATTATAGAAATAGGATGAGTGTAAAGGGTATTTCTCCTCTTCCCTCATCAGTTTAGTTTTATTC